ATCTAAATCTCTAATTCATGCTCAGCACGCGCCCCATCAAAAGGCGGCCACGCACTTCGCTTCTTTTTTCCAAAACGAGGGGAAGGCAGAGGTATCTACGGCTAGATTTGGTGGAAAGAGCTTAGATCAGCCCAAGTAGGTACAGCTAACCCCGCACTGAGCGGGGGGCAAAAAAAAGGTCACGTTTTTGGCGCAGGCAGTGACACTTGCCATGCGCACTGCCGCCGGGGGAGCTGATCGATGCATGCATGCGCGCGCCGTAAACAAATGCGCTTCATCACCGACCAGTGTAGTCTATTCGCAGACGCATTGGGCCTGTTCGCACATCTGAATTCTGAAGGAATCTGGATGGTTTGGAAGAATACTGAAGGAATTTGTGAGAGAAAAATATTATTTCGAATAAAAAAAATAACGGATCAAGCCAGGTTTAAGGGCACGCGAACGGAGCCATTATTGGTTGTCCCAGGCAGGGCAGGTGTAGTTTCCCGACAGGAGGCCGCGGGTAGTTTACTCCCACTACCATCACAATACTCGGCTCCCATCTCCATGTGCCAATCAAACGTAGTTCCGTGCTCTTCTCTTGCTTGATCAGAAGACAACAGCATCTGCTACCGCCTTATAAAAAAAAAAAATCTGCAACTACGAGTACTTGAAAAGTGCGTTCTACTACAAGAACATGCAGGCAGGCAGGCACGGAGTCAGCGGTGGGGCTAGGGGGTCTCTAGCCCCCCTACCGCTCGCGAGCAAGCGAAGCCCCGTAGAGCCGCCGTCTGAAATTTCAGCTGTAGATGTACATGTAGAAGGGGTTGGGATTTGTTGAACCTTTTTTCTTGCTAATTGCCGTTGTTTAGCCCTTCCTAAATTTTTTCCTAACTTCGTCCCTGCAGGCAGGGCAGGGCGTTCCGTGACATAGCCCGTGTTTAGTTGGTTGAAAAGTTAAAATTTGGCTACTGTAGCATTTTCGTTTTTATTTGTCAATTAGTGTTCAATCATGGATTAATTAGGCTCAAAACGTTCGTCTCGCGATTTCCAACCAAACTGTGCAATTAGTTTTTTTCGTCTACATTTAATGCTCCATGCACGTATCGTAAGATTCGGTGTGATAGGTACTGTAGTACTTTTTTGGAACTTTGTTTGAACTAAACACGGGCATAGACACATACCTTGTGTGTGACGCAAGTTGTAACGGTTGCGTCCAATTATCAGTGCTACTAGTCTGTCTGTTCGCTTGTTGGTTTCAGCCAAGATTTATCAGTTAGTCAACAGTATTTTTCTCTCATAACAAACTAGCACCAGTCAGACTTATCAGCTCAAAAACCAACCAGCGAACAGACTGACTCTATCTGTGATGCAAAGCTGATACTGGACTACTCTACGCGATGCCAATGCCAAGTGGGAGGAGCAAACAGGTCAAGTGGGGGGAGCAAGAGCAAACATACAGGTCGAGATCAGCATCTCCTGGCAGTCAGATGGCAACGGAGCACCAACTGAAGCTGAACTGACCGCCGCAGCGACGTCAAACGCCATGTTCGCTTGGGCACGGCATGTTTGCTGAGGCTTGTTTGGCTGATAAACTATGGTTGAAAGTACCGTTGACTAATTTGGTGTGAGAAAAATACTATTCGTTGACTAAAAAAAGTACAACTTATAGACAAACAAGCCAAAACGAACGGGGTGACGAGCGAGACGACCTGCCGGGACATCGTCGTCGGTCGCTATCGCCAAACAGGCAGGGCGGCAGCAGCGGACCCGGACCGGCCAGCCATGCAATAAAAGGGAGGGCATCTTCGTTGCTTCTTCCGGCTGCATCAAGGGCCGTTCGAATCAGCAATTCAGCAGCAGGTAGCCATCACCGCCGTAGCCAGGGGACCGACCTCCCCAACTGCAACCATGCATTACAAAACGTACCTGTGGCCTTTGAATCTAGCAGGACGCCTATGGATTCTCCTAACACTCCTTTCCAAGCAACGGATAGAGCCGCCGAGCGTGCCTGCAAATTGTATGTAAAAACTTGGATGGATCGTGTCACATATGCTGATTGTTTCTGCAAAGTAGGAAAGGAAGAGGGACCAGACCATCGGATTATTTTGTTTTTATGCAAGTTGAAACTGGGGATATGGATGGAGATGGCTCAATAATGGGCACATGCCACGAGACTGAATGGGGAACACCGTGGGAGTAATAAAAACAATTTGGTCGTGATGTGCATTCAGGCCGGGCGCAGCAAGGCTGGACTCTGGCGTGCTGACCTTCGCAGGTTCAGGAAATCAGGAGTAACACAGCCTCTACCTTTTTTTTTAAAAAAAAATAAGCATCTACCAGTGAAAGTTTGAGTTCCCCATTCTTAATAACCCTGACAATTATTGACAGTATAAGAGTTGACACAACTGTACGTACGTAGTCCACTAATCCTACTGCTTTCCTTTCACGTGAAACCGATCTAGGGTCCAATAGTAAAGATGCACTAGGGAATAACATACAAGAGTGACATTGTCCTGGACATCGTTATCAGTTTACCTTTGTTCAAATTTGAAGGATGGCATCCATCGCATCAGGGTACACATACATCTTGTAGCTTCGTCTCTATGACATGAACCGGTGGTGAAGTGAAAGGTGTTTCCCATTCAATTTGTTTTTTTTTTAAAAAAAAAGGTGTTTCGTTCCCATTCGCCAGTCCAGATATAGGCAAATAGCCCCTGGAGGCTGGAGCTTATCAACTCCGGCTGTTACTGCCCCCCTTCAACATTAAGTTCATTTCATGCAGGGATAAGACAGCAGAGATAATATGCCTGTCACAGATCAGATCATGATGCCTGTCACAGATCCGTGAACTTTCACTGAGAGCAAAAGGAAGTCATCTCATGTTCATTCGCCTTGTTTTTACCAGATATTGTGCTTCCTGTATAAGATCCTACTATAAAGTAAGTGGAATTTCGTTTTCATCCTCTCACCTTTGTTCCTTTCTATTCCTTTTGGCCATTGCTTCCCTTTTCATTTCGTCCTTATCCCTCGGATTATATATAGCTCTATAGGCCTCGTGAATTTCAAGTCTCTAAATATAAAATATATACTTCCAACCGTCAAATATATATATATATATATATATATATATATATACTTCCTATTATATTTAGAGCATGTTCCAACTGACCTATCAGTAGAAGGCACGACAACCTACATTTGTGAAATATTAGCAATCCTGTGGACAACCTGTCACAAGAAGCTGTACCACAGAGATTTATACTCACTGCCATTAGATTCACAACAAGGACAACGCAAAAAGGAAAGAAGCTCTAGGCCACACAATTTTCATTACACTTATCACAGGATTTCGAAAAGGCTACACAGAACTATGTAGCATGGATAGCTTCATACTCCCAGTACAGGTAGAAGGTTTTTTAGTATACTCAGAGTTCAGGTAGTAGGTCCTTTAAGATCTGGAAAATAGAAGTCAATTCATTTTGACCAAATGCACACAACCTTTTGCATTAGGAGCTTTGCCAACTGAACTTTTTACTTTTGGATAACACAGCTACATTTCTTACCACGTGCTAATTGCACTTCATAATTTTACTCTTACTAAACTTTTATTATACTAAAAGTACAAAAACAAACAAATACATCTGAAGAGCTTACAGAGTTACCATGCAGACGCGGCCATTTCAGTAACACTTGAAGATCCCGTCAAATTCGGCTTTGCAGTATGTTGAAGTAATCCCAAACTATCCAAATCAATGCTGTAGGAACAGGGTAACCTGTAAGTTATGTGAAGTACAAGGCTAAGTAGTATAATGGCATCCATTATTATACATAAGCAAATGATCGCAAAAATTGCAAAGCATAGCATCAGATGTCTCAATTTCTTCAAACCCCAGCTATGGTTGGAAAGGTTTTAGCAGTCTCATACCTGATGAAAAGCTTGGTGCAAGGAAAGATGTCCTTTGGAGTGGAACAATTGAGAGAACACTTCAAAGAATAATGTCTTCCTGCAGGAAACAAATGCTTGATGCTGAGCCGAGGATGTATTTCCATCGATAAATCTGTTAAACTTCTCCCAAATCCAAGCACTTATCTCAGATTCACGGTAACTACCCTAGTAGATGAGCAACTTTGAGCATCAAAGGAACCACAGGAGAGTGTGCTGCCAACAGAGATACGTTTGTACGAGAATCATTGTAACTGCCATAGTAGACGAATCAGCCAATGAAACAGTCTGCAGATATGATCCATGAAACACAGGTGTTGACAACGCTACCAAGACAGCAGAGATAATATGCCTGAGGTAACTGTGATACCATATTTTCATGTACCATTTCACCCGGACTGTTTTGTTTCATTCAGATGCTGTCCACTGAGGTATGGCCATATGGAACATATGCCAGCAAATCAGTTGACATTTGTGATACTTGCAGTCATGCACAATGTGGCAGCATGAGAAGAGCCTCAAGGTTAAAACATATTTCCAGAAAGTCGTCAGCACCAACCAACAACTACATGGTGACCATGCATTGAAAAGTAGTAGTAGATCATTGCTGAAGAATTTTATGGCTCTGAAGCCTTCCGAGTGAACTGTGTTGCAGGAGTCCACTTAGCAGTGCTTGGATCTTTTACACCATGAGGAAGTGTGATTCTAAGGAATGAGCCTAGTGCTCAAAGACGTCATTAAGAACAATGATAGTTCCGTTCAGTTCTACACCCAGTGTATCACCCCTGAATTTTAATATGCTGATATACACCAATCTTTTCTCCTCCCATTTCTTAGTTTCCTTCCAGAAAGATTTTGATGAAGAAAGCACCACTCACTGGTAAAGGGAAACAGTAATATGAAACTGAAGGAAGTGCACTAAAGAGGAATTAAAATATAAGGGAAGAATATAATGTTTTCAACACAGTACAATGCATACATCCACAATATATTATTTTGTTTTAAGTTCCAATAGCCAATAAATACAGAGTATTTAACATCACAGAGATTCAAATGTACCAAATCAATAATAAAGTTATGCTGAATCATCATCACTTCGAAACATTTTCAGCCCATATCCAACAGGGAATAGCGGGTCATAGTTAGCATCTCCAGCATTTATAGGCAATTGATCAACAGACCTATACCATGTCACAGACAATGTGCCGACAAAATCATGATCTCCAAAGAGGCAATCGGTAATTCCCATGCCCTCAGTTCCAGGAAGCCAGGCAGCAACTAGAGCTTCTATCTTTTCCAAAACTTGTGACTCAATAATCAATGGCCTTCCAGATATAACAATCACTAGCGTAGGGATTTTACTAGCAACACAGGTGATAAGATCAGAGCCATTAAACGGGATACTAAGGTCAGTTCTATCTCCTGTCCATTCAGCATATGGAACCTCTCCAACAACAACCACCGCATAGGAAAAACCCCCAGTTTCAATCATAGCTTCTGTTGGGCATTTCTCATACACAACTTCAGTTTGCACTCCCACGGATTCTTGTATGGCCTCCAATATGCTCGTACCTGTTATTTAGATTCGCGTGAATAGCTGTTTTTCAAAAATAGGATATTTTACTACTTTGATCAAATAAAGCTAGAAATGTTCTTTTGGAACAAATAAATCAGTGAGGGAGGGAGGGCAGAGTGTGAGCGAGTGTATAAAGTAACGGGAAAGGCATAGATCTACTCAAGGGAAAACTACAACATTGATCTACTCAAGGGAAAATCACAGCATACTACTTCAGTGATCCAATACAAAACATCTTAAGCTTGCTTTTCAAAGCAGAAGGTTACCATTTATTTTTCACCATGGCAGTTGAAAGTGCTATATGGATTGTCAAAACAAGTTTACAGCTGGAGTTCAAGAAGGCGCTAAGCGGTTTCTAGGCGGTGACCCACGGCCTAGAGCCTAGGCGAGCCTAGGCGTTTCAAGGCGTTTTTCTAGACGATGGCTAATAATGCATAAATACTTAAAAGAAAAGAAAAAAAAATAGGAGATTAGGGGTCATGAAATAGGGAGAAAGAGAAGAAGGCCCATTTAACGGCCCAACTCTCCACATTACAGCCTCTCCCGCATCCTCTCCCTTTCCCGCATCTCTCTCTCTCTCGCGCCCACATCTCTTCTGTGCCCGCCTGCCGCCAGTTCCTCTCCCTCTCTCGCATCTCTCTCTCTCTTGCCCGCATCTCTGCGCCCGCCGCCGCCGGTTCCTCTCCCTCTCCCGCAGCTCTCTCTCTCTCAGTCCGCGCCCGCCGTCCGACTCCGCCTGAGGCTGCTCCTCCCTCGCCGGCGACCTCCGCCCACCTAGGGGTCCGCCTACTCCCATAGGCCAGGCGGAACCCCCTCGCCTACCGCTTAGTCGCGCCTAGGCGGCCGCCTAGCGTCGCCTTTTTGAACCTTGCCAAGAAGGTTACTTCACTCAAAATAATCATCACTTCTTTCAGAACAATTATATCCATGCTAGTTCAAAAGAACAATTGAAGTACCCAGTCACTCTATTTTTTAGAAGGACAACTGTATCGTCTAGGTCAAACAATTGATTGATATGAGTACAGAAGAACTTATAAATACAAATATTTATTTTTGCAGAGTTTCTTCTTACCAGGAGTTATTTTTCCACTGTCTCCATGCCATGCTATCGTCCACCCACCACATTGATATCCAATATCGTCAGCATGTGTTCCTGCAACCAGTATTCTTTTTGCATCTCTGGCCAATGGAAGGAATGGCTCCTGATCCTTGCCATTTTTCAGAAGTACCAAAGACTTGCGAACAGCCTCACGCCCTAGTAATCGATGTTCCTGATAGGTCAACATATTGCCTATCGTTACTGACATCAATATTGAGATGGCTCAAACAGAAAGATAAGCAGAAATTTGAAAGAAACAAGAAGCATGTTACCTTACAACCAACTGTGTCCAGTAGAGATTGGTCTGAAAATGGATGCTCAAACACTCCAGAAATAAATTTAACCCTCAGAATTCGCTCAACAGCATCATCAATTCGAGACATTGGTATCTCCCCCGCCTCCACCAAGAACACAATATCATCCAAAAAATTCTCAAACCTGTGAGGTATCATAATCTGTAGATTGCTCAATTTGGCAAAACCAACAGATGACTGAAGAATGCATTTCATGTGAACACTTAAATTAACCATATACCATGTCCATTCCTGCATTTACTGATTGTGCAATGCAATAGCGATAATCAGACCCTCGAGGCTTTTGTGGCTCACAGATCCTGTCAATGCCCTCCCAATCTGAAATGAGAAGACCCTGAAACAGGAGGTTAGACACATCAAATTAATAGACCAACCTAAGCTTCAATCATTATACAAAATGGTGGCAGTAGGCTCGGGTACCTTAAAGCCTAACTTGCCCTTCAGAACATCAGTCAGCAAGTAGCGACTCGAATGCAATGGCTCCCCATTCCATTTAGAGTAAGACGCCATTACTGTTGCCACCCCTTGAGCTATACAATCAGGGTAAGGTGTCATATGGATTGCTTCCAAATCCTCATAGGAGCAAATGGCGTTCCCTTCATTCACCCCCTTGTCCGTGCCACCATCCCCTACGAAATGCTTAGCGCAAGCAAGTACATTCTCCCTACAAACCACAACCACATGGACACATTTCCACAAACAGGTCGTGGGCATATGGGGAACACTCTAAACACCTCCACTGAAATACCTAGGCGAAGCGAGGAAGGGGTAACCATGAGGATGGTCTGCTGGCGGCTGCCCCTGCAGACCGCTGACGATGGTGGTCAACGAGCGCACGATCTCTGGGTCCTCGCTGTAGCTTTCGTAGCATCTACCCCACCTAGGATCCCGACAGACCTAGCATACACGAGGCCAAACATCAAGGAGATCCCGTACACACGCCACCGATTAATCAGGAGAGGTTTGAATTTTACTCACGGCGACGCAGGGTGCGAAGGTCCAGTGGATGCCAGTGGCCCGAACCTCGAGCGCCGTCGCCTCGCCGATCCTACGCGCGAGCTCTCCGTCCCTGTGAGGTCAACAGCAATACGGTTGCCTAACGGACAACAAAACACAGGGGATAGTACACTGACGCGGCCATCACACAGAACATGGTCCGTGGATCGAATCGACCGGTACCTGGAGGCGCCGAGACCGACGTTGTGAGGGAACACGGTGGCGCCGTAGACGTTGTTGTGGCCGTGTACGGCGTCGGTGCCGTAGAGGATGGGGACGCCGAGGCGGGAGGAGAGCGCGAGGCGCTGCATGCCGTCGACCATGGCGGCCCAGTCGGCGGGGGAGGCTCGGTCGCGGGGCGTGCTTCCCCCGGCGTTGAGGACGCTGCCGGCCCCGAGCTCCGCGAGGGCGCGCGGCGTCGCGACGGTGCGCTCGATCTGGGCCATCTGCGCCGCCTTCTCACGCAGCGTCATGCGGCCCAGCAGGTCCCGCACCCGCGCCTCCACCGGCGCCGATGCGTCCCTGTACACCGGCGCCGCCTCGCCTCGCGCCTCCGGTGCCATCGTGCGGGTGAGCAGAAGGGAGCGGAGGCGGAGGAGATGAGATGGGCGTTGTGTTGCCCGATTGTTGGGAGGGGATTGGATTTGGACACACGAGGGAAACAGGGTAGAGCGCCTCGAATCGAGACGATGGTGTTTGGTTGGTCGCGCCACCTGGAGTGACATTGGCGTTTGAAATTGTCAGCGGTTCTGGGACCCACCCCGTCGCCGACTCGCCGTCGTTGTTAAAATGAATGAACCGATTTTTCCGTTTAATTGATCCGTTTATTATCTGCTCCCTAATAATGCAATTCTCATTTTTCGAGAGATCAAACAATTTAATCTTTGACTAAAATTATATAAAAAAATATTAACATTTATAATACAAAATAGATACTAGATTAGTTATAGAATATATTTTCATTATAAATCTATTTTGAGACATGAATACTAATACCATTTATTTCCTTTAAATTTAGTTAAAGTTTGGCTAGTTTAACTAATATGGACCCTATAATTATATTCTTTCGTGAACAGAGGATACAATAGTGAACCTATGTGGTAGACGTCCGATCAAGATGTCAGTGATTTTACATTAGGGAATAGTAAGCGTTAAATTAGATCAAAAATTAATACTAATCCTAATCACTAATCCATAAATTGGATCACTGCTCTCTTGTTAGTTGATTTGATCTTAAATAGATTTGCTTCTCAACACCCATCTCGCGTGTGCTAGTTTTTTTATACAACAAACAAGCTGACGGTGTTGCTATTTTAGTGGCAGTGGCAGTGGCAACACGTCAGTCGTGATGCAATTGTAGCACACTAGAGACTTTGACAGCTATAGGAGACTCCGCGCGCTCGGCCCGTGGGCTGCAAGCTGCCAATTTGTCTATGAACCGACAAATGTGCGTTTGAGTCCCTCTTCATTGTGAAATCGATAAAAAGAATCTGAGTAGCAGCCAAAGGAGAGGGATAACGCATGGTAAAAGAATCCAGCATAAGAATCCGTGAATTCGTGGAAACCCAGATAATACTGGATTCTTGTCACTACCGCATAGTAATACATTGGATCTAGTATTACTTTTCAAAAAGATTAGTTTGCTCTCACTCCTGACCACACGCACAACTTGCTCTTATCGGGGAATCACATGAATGGGAGAAACAACATATCAAGGTTCTGTGTGCTCTTATCGTTTCTAAGAACCTCATGCGTGGATCAATGTGATTGATCAAGTGAAAATAGAGGCATTTGGAATGTATTGAAATCGGCTTGATTTGATCGGTCCGATGAGATTTTCATAGCGATTTCATAGAAACGATCTATGAAATTCCGGGAGGGCACCACCATATGCATACAACAGATAGAATATTAGGGTAACTTTTTTCACATAATGCGATAGCATTCGGTTCTCTGTTTAACTTGTTTTTGCAGAGAATATTATGAATAGTAATGTCGGATACCATAAAAAGGGGTACCCTAAGCGAGAACCGAAAAAAAATTGCTTCGACCTTGCAAATATCAAAGCCAAAGGACAACCACGAGGTCTCGGCCGATTCTCCGATTCACCCGAGGCCCGCGCCGCAAAAGCCTCGGACGAAAAACCAACTCTCCGCCTCGCCGAGGCCCCCTCGCCCGAGGCCCTGCCCCGCAAGGCCTCGGACGGGTTACCGATTCTCCGATTCGCCCGAGGCCCCGCGCATAAAGCCTCAGACGAAGTACCGATTCTCCGACTCGCCCGAGGCTGGCTCGGCAACAACCTCGTTGCCTCCGTCTCGACCGACTTCTCTGACAAAACATCACGTCCAATTAACGCGTCCAACCACTCCCGCAACATCGGCCCGCGACGTCGGCCTTGATGCAATGAGTGGCCGATGGGACGGAGGCGGGGCTGAAAGGGGTTACCGGCCATCGTGCTCGCATTGTGCCCATAATCGACGCCGTCTTGCCTTTGTGCTACCTAACTCCTGCTCCAGGAACAACGCGGCGTGGGGAGTCAAGTCCGGGTCACTATAGCCCTCTGATAATTTTGGAGTACGTCTCTAGACCCCTAGCCAACCCCTATCGAATAGGGGCACGGGCCTCCACTCGGACTTACCCGATAACAGCTCACCGGAGGTGCCACTGCTCGCGCCCACCGAGGGTAGCCTGACATCCTCCACCCCTCCTTTCGAATGAAAAGGACGCGCGAGGGTCGCACAAAAAAGATAGGGAAACTCCTGATCGTCCTCTCGCTCCGTGCAGAGACTCGGGGGCTCTTCCTGCAAACCAAGCCAAGACCCGACAACCCGAACTCGCACTCAGGAGCTCGGCAAATGCGATAAAACTCCTCACACAAAATAGGGAAAAAGCCCCTGGAGGAGTAAATCCACTCCTCTAGGGCCTCAGGGGCTACACCCGGCGGGTGCGCTCGCGCGCACCCACCGGAACCACGAGTACAAAACACAACCCCACAGGAGCTACCACCTATGGCCTTCTGAGCCAAGTCTCGACAAAACCTCAGGGAGAGTGCTCGCACTCTCCCTAAGGCTCGGGGGCTACTGTCGGATACCAGAAAAAGGGGTACCCTAAGCGAGAACCAAAAAAATTGCTTAGACCATGAGGTCTCGGCCGATTCTCCGATTCACCCGAGGCCCGCGCCGCAAAAGCCTCGGACGAAAAACCAACTCTCCTCCTCGCCGAGGCCCCCTCGCCCGAGGCCCTGCCCCGCAAGGCCTCATACGGGTTACCGATTCTCCGATTCGCCGAGGCCCCGCGCAAGATAAAGCCTCAGACGAAGTACCGATTCTCCGACTCGCTCGAGGTGGCTCGGCAACAACCTCGTTGCCTCCGTCTCGACCGACTTCTCTGACAAAACGTCACGTCCAATTAACGCGTCCAACCACTCCCGCAACGTCGCCCCGACGCGTCGGGCGTGAAGCAAATGGAGTGGCCGATGGGATAGGAGGCGGGATCGGCGGGGTTTGCAAGACGCGTGTGTTTCGTGACTGTGCCCATAATCGACGCTCAGATCGTTCTTGCCTTTGTGCTACTTAACTCCTGCTCCAGGAACAACACGGCGTGGGGAGTCAAGTCCGGGTCACTATAGCCTCGGAATCATTGTATAGGACCAACTGCTCCCTCCAAGCCTCGGCAATCCACTTCAGGGTCTCGGCAGTCTCAAGATTCGTGCCCGCCGATCCCCCCACGATGGCTCGACCTCGGCACCAACTGAGCCTCGGCTTTTTACACTGTCAAAGCACAGCGACCGGCACATCGTCAGCCATGCCCTACGCCAAGCTATCACTGGAGCTCCCACGTCGCACAAGATCGGGTGTGACCGGCGCGTTGCTCCAGTGCATCAAGGACAAGACCGCTCCGTTGACCATGCCGCCATAGTAGTAAGCTATAGGGCTTAGACACGCCACCTCCGCTCACAAGATGCCGCATAGCGAACACATGTATCACCCCTGTCCCCCTTCAACTATAAAAGGAGATACCGGGGCCGTTTCTAGGGAGAGAAAGACAGACGAACTCACGCATAGGCTCACATAGATTCAGACACACATGCTCCCCCGCTGCCTGAGAGCAACGTCTCAAGCAGCCCACCCCGCTCCACGCAGAGACTGGGGACTAGCTCCCTCTCTCGCCCAGCTTGTAACCCCCTACTACAAGCACTTCGGTGCAAGGAATACAAGATCGATCTCTCAGACTGGACGTAGGGCACCAATTGCCTGAACCAGTATAAACCTTGTGTCTCTTTACATCACCATCCGGGATTAGGGGCACGCAGTTCAAATTCACTAGTTGGTTGAGGACCCCCCGGTCCAAAACACCGACAGTTGGCGTGCCAGGTAGGGGGACTACTGCGTGTTAGCTTAATCGTCCCAACAAGTTCCGGATAGCAGACCCCATATGCCCACTACGTCTCGGCACGGTGATCTGGTTTGGGAGCCTAGAGTTCATGTCTCTAGGATGTGAGTATGACCTAGTACTCCTCCCATCCAGAGCCCCTTTGGCCAACGACGACATCGCGCACCAGCAGCCCAGGCACAGACGGCGCCCGGGCCGCCGCTCTCGTCGCGCTCGCCAGGCACGACGCGAGCGGGACCACCCCGACACCGCACGAGCTTAGGGCGATGCGCCGCGCTCCGCCGGTATCCCATACCCGACTGTTGGTACAGAGTCCCTAGTTGGGGACCTGTCTAGCTTAAGCCTGGGCAGGGGAAAGACACCAGTGACGTGCAGCAATGCCCCGTCATCAAGTTCCGCACCGCCACCTCCTGAGGAGCCAACTCCGGTGGAGCAGGGCCCGGCGATGGCACCATCCCCGTACCCCTTTGGGTTGAGAAATGCCGCCGCCACCTTCGCTTCCGCTCACATGGAGCCCTCAGGACGCCACCAACGTTTCACCCTTGACCTCTTCGCCACAACCTCAGCTCACACCCACACTGACTCCTTGGAGGAGGACGAGGCATGGGCCAGAGCAGACTTCTCTGGGCTTCGCGACCCTCAAGCTATGCGCCTTTTCTTGGCCGCGAGCGACTACTGCTTCGGCTACTCCGACTCCACTGACGAAGGCACTTACGATCCCACTCGAGAGATCTACACAAGCCCTCGGTCAGCTACGCCTCGGCGGCAGAAGAGGGCACACCGGTCGAGCCCACCACAGGGCCCGAGGCCTCCTCTGCCGCCGAGACCCCGGCGGCCGAGCCCGAGGCCATGGAAATCGACGCAGGGCCTCCCGAGACCGATCAGGGTACGGACTGGCGAGTTCCGCTCCTTGATCGCCTCGTTCGAGGAGTGCTTCCTACGGACAGGACCGAGGCCCAATGGCTTGCATGACGAGCCAAAACTTATGTCCTCAGCAATGGCGAGTTGTACTGGCAAAGCCCATCTGGCGTCCTCCAACGATGCATCACCACCGAGGAAGGCCAAGCCCTACTTTGGGACTTGCATGCGGGAGCCTGCGGGCACCATGCTGTGCCTCAGACGCTCGTCGAAAACGCCTTCCGCCAAGGATTCTACTGGCCAATGGCGGTCG